GTGTTAGCCTTACCGTTATTTCCGACGATGGATACCATGGTCACGGCCGACGGCGCCCTGTCTTTTTGCCCGCTCTATTTCGTACTCATGCACACCTTGAGTGGGTTTTAAGTCGAAAATGTGGAGAAATGGTGTTTCTTTCCTTCCTCCTTCTTCGCTTCTTTCATTTCACATCCATGGATGGACTTATCCATCATCTTCATTACCGCCCCCAACTTCATCATCCTCGACCCCACACATTCATACACTCCCTGGGGAACAAGCGAAGGGCTTTAGATGAGGCCGGGGCTACCTCTGGGCTATTGTTTTATTGTTGGTTGTTTCCGGTCCGCCGATGAACAAACGATTTAGACGGAACGTCAGCACACCTTTGTACCACTCAAAAACCACCCCTACTTGGTGGATGGGTGTGTGCGTCGCCGACGCGCGGGGTAACATCCATCCAACCCCAAACGAAAAAAACAGGGGAGCCCCAGGTTGTTCCGGGGACGATCGGGCTCGCGTACGACGGCTCGGACCTCGCGGAGGTGATCGCCCGCCTAACCGAGAATGCGGTTACCAATGGCAACGAAAACATCCGCAAGAACGCGCTCGAGGGCACAAAGTTCGCGTGGAGAGAGGAGAAGGAGGAGGGGGGGGAGGAGACCGGCTATGTCGATGTAACGTGCCCGTACGGTGAGCGGCTTGAGTGCCGGGTTAGGGTTTGGAAAGCTCCCGATCGAGCAGCTCCATGTATGTCTACCTAAGGAATCCTGGTGTCAGGAAAGTTGTAAGTAGCTTGAAGAATACATTTTTTGCGAACGGTTGGGATATTGTGTTTATGCTTCTGTTCGCTGCTGGTCTTCAGCGTGTGTGGGGATTGCATGAACTCGCCCTCTGCCGATTGCGCCAACACCAGAAAATGGCCGTTCAGGATTCTACTGTATCGGTCAGAGGGGTTCGTTCTGTTAAGATATCAACGACAACTTCTTCATACGCGTATTCCTTCAGGCTCTTGGGTCTCGTTCCTTTGCGACGATAATGTGAGAGGCCCAGACACAATTGTTGTGGATTCCTGGCGCTCTCCGTACACAAAACTAGGCGGCTTGCCTCGAAACGATTGCGTGTAGGTTGGACACCTGAAATATGTGAAATGTTTTATCGTCCTAATGGAGTGTGGAAAGTCGTTCGCATGCCTTCATCTTCAACCAGCTCCATTTCGATTGAAGCCCTTCCAAGCACTCGTGTGCTCTGTCGACGTGCTCAGCACCAAGATCCCGACACATCAAGCGTTGAGATTGAAACGTACTGGCTGAGGTTGCCCCTTTCCTTGCTCCAAGAGTGTGTTTGTGTTT